AGAGCCTTCAGCAGCTCCCATTTCACCCAGAGTAAAACCTTAAGTCCTTACAATGATTTTCCAGGCTTACCCCACTAGCTCGTCTCCTATTTCGTCACCCTGGCTAACCCCACTCCAGCCATCTGGGCCTCCTTGTGCTCCTCCAATGTATCCAAGGGAGTCTCTGGCTCCTTCCCAGATATGTGCACAGCTCACTTTTCTCCAGTGTCACTTTCTTGGACACTGGAGAAATGTGTAAATAAAAAGTTTTGGGTTACCAGCCCTCCCCTGCTGGGCACCCCCATTCCCCTTAATTGTCAAATCCCTTTCACTGCACTCATCTGATGTCGGTTCTGTTTATTGGTTTATTTTCCATCTTTCTGTACTGGCATAACAGCACCACAGGACTGATTTTTTTTTTTTTTTTTTTTGCGGGGCGGGGCTAGTGCTGATCACTGCTATACAGTCCCAGGGGCTAAAACAGTGCTTTGTCTACAGAAAACACTTAATAAATACTTGTAGAATAAATAAGTAAATGAAAGAACTAATAAATCTGCTTACCCTGAGTGTACGAGCTAGTCTTCACGGTGACAACTTTTTTTTTTTTTTTTTTTGGTACGGGGGATTGAACCCAGGGGTGCTTAACCACCGAGCCACATCCCAGCCCTTTTCATTTTTTATTTAGAGACAAGGTCTCGCTAAGTTGCTTAGGGTCTTGCTAAATTGCTGAGGCTGACTTTGAACTCCAGATCTTCCTGCCTCACCCTCCCAAGCTGCTAGGATTACAGGCGTGCGCCACTGCACCCAGCCACAGTGACAACTTCTATACCTCTATTTCCAGCTTCAGATCTGATCCCTAATACCCAAAATTATATCAAAATTTCACATCCCAGTCAAAATGCATCACCTTCCCAATCTGCTCCCACTCTGGGTTTCCTATTTCAACGACAGCTGCAATACTCCTCCAGCCTCTTCCAGGCCAATAATTCCTGTGCCTTGGCCCTCTGCCTCCCTCTCGCTCCATGACTTGTCTCTTCTGCCTCCATTTCTCTGTTCCTACTTCAGTTGTGTGAACAGAACTGAATGTCATTTTCCTATGGTCACCTGATCATAAGGAAGCCCAGTAGAGTCATCACCCCATAATAAAACCACAGATCCCTCCCTTTGTACAAACACCTACATGTTGACAGAGCACTTCTGCAGACATTATGTCACCAAATTTTCACAACCACCTGGTTTTGGATGTCATTATTCCCAATGGACAGATGAGAACAGGTTAAAAGAAATGAAAAAATTTGCCTGAGGTCACAGAGTGAGTAAGCTGGGATTTGAATCCAGGTCCCCAAACTAAAATCATCATCAACCTCGAGCTCTCAGTTTAAAAGACTGGCTCTCAGGCAAGTTACATAACTTTTCTGGCCCTCAGTTTCCTCATCTATAAAATGGGAATAAAAACAGACCCTAGGTCATGGGATTTTTATGAGGATTCAATGAATTAAACCATGGGAGGCTGGGCATGGTGGAATACACCTATAATTCCAGCTACTCAGGAGATTGAGGCAAGAGGATCCTAAATTAGAGGCCAGCCTTGGCAACTTAACAAGACCCCTTCTTCAAAAAAAAAGGTGGGGTGGCAGATATAGTTAGTGGTAGAGCACCCCTGGGTTTAATCCCCAGTACTGCAAAAACAAACCAACCACATGGGGTGTGTAGAATGATGACTGGCAGGTTGTAAAACGCTGAATAATGCTAGTTTTCATTATTATCTTTATGTTAGAGATTTAGGAGATGCTGAAATACCTAAAATAAGTCAGAAAATATTGTGGGTCTGTGTATTTTTCCTGGGAAGAGAATCCTCAGCTTCTACTCTCAAAAGGCTCTCTGACTTGGCACTGAGCAAAAGAGAGACCAAGAATATGTTCAGTACTCGGCATGCACCTATAATCCCAGCTACTTGGGAGGCAAAGGCATGAGGATCACAAGTTTGAGGGCAATCTCAGCAAATTAGTGAGACCCTGTCTCAAAACAAAAACTAAAACAGGCTGGGGATATAGCTCAGTGCTCCCTTGAGTTCAATTCCCAGAACCCCCCCCAAAAAAAAGAAAGAAAGAAAGAATATGTTCACAAATAAGCCTTGTTCCTACCAACAGCCCTCCCAAACACTCCTCCATTCAGAACTAAGGAATGTGGCTGGCATCAAGAAAGCCACTGTGTGGAGCTGGGGGGTGTGGTTCAGTGGTACAGAACCTACTTAGCATGCACAACACCCTAGGTTCAATCCCCAGAAAGGGTGGGGGTGGGTAAAAGCCAGTTTATGAAAACCATGTAATATGATAAAGTGGTTAAAAACACTACTACTCAGTTGTGATCTCAAGTCTCAACACTGTCATTTAATAATGGTGAGAATGACCCTAGAAGTCATTTATTAGTGGTGAGAATGAATCATACCACTCAATCATATCAGGGTACCACCTGACAAAGGGCAGATTTTTCAAACCTACTTAGCTCTCTTCTCCCACCAGTGTCTTATCCCTGACAGAACAGCCTACTTGGAATTCTGTAACTATCTCAGGCCAAACCACCCTTTCTAGCCTGCCTCCCTCCAAATTCACAGGTCTGTGGCCGTGAACTCAGTGAAAGCATATACAAAAAGCACTCAGAATGAAACCAGCCCGCATTCCAGAAATGGTAGCTTAGACTGGCCACTTCATTTCCTTTCCTTAGGCTTCAGTTTCACCCTCTTTTAAATGAAGTTGATTTGCTAAATGACCTTCCTGGATACCTTCTAACCTTGAGCCCACTGATTTTAGAAGGCAGGTACATGGCAATGATTCCATTACACCGAGGAAACTGAGGTCAAAGCAAGTGGGAACAACCTGCTGAGGGCCACAGAGTGATTCCTAGGGTCATCTCTTGGCCTAGTGCTCGTGTCTCCTTTTCTTCTCTGCTGAGGGAAACAGGGATTGCACTTGCCCATCTCCCAGGGAAGGAAGCTGAGGCCTCAAAGGGAAGGAGACTCAACGCACTGCCAGATGGCTCAGCAGAATCTGGACCTTGGGATTCTATACCCCCAGTCAGTAGGAGGAAAGGGGAGGGCAGGATCACCTGCAGCACCACCGAGATGGTCTTTTCACCAGCCTTGGCTGCCCGCCATTTCCGGTAAGTGTCAGCCTTGAGAAGGTTCTCTGCACAGTGGGTCTGGAGACAGGAGGAAAGGAGAGTTAGGGCGGAGATGAGAGCTCGGCCCTCAGCTTTCAGATCACTCCTCTGAGTCCTCCCAAGCCCTCTAGGCTGCCCCGGACTTAAGTTACCCCGTCTGTCCCCCCACACCCCGCCTAGAGTTTCCACTGGAATTTTCCCTCTGGAAGTTAGCTATGGGTTTCCCTATTCCTCCATTTTTCTCCGGAAGTTCCAAAAGTTCAATTCCACATTTCTCTCAGAATTCATTTACAGTCTCTGGAAACCCCATGCCCTTCCTTCGACTTCCATGAAGTTCCCTTTTAGACCCCAAAGTTCTTACGGGGCCCCTTTCACTAATTCCCTTGCATCTTCCAACCTCCCCCACGCCGGTCCCTCACCGAGTCCTGGCTGCTGCAGGACACGACGTGGCGGAGGCGAATCTCTGGCATGTCAATGTCGGGGGCTTCGCCTGGACCGGAGGATGAAGAAGGGTCCTGGCTTGGGGGCGGGGAGGGAGGGCGCCCTGCGCGGGCTTAAGTGCGCAAGCGCGCGAAGCTTGGGCCTTTCAAACCGCGGCGCGCCGACGCTCGCGTCGACACCGCGCAAGCCCAGATGAATCTCTTCGGGAAGAGGCTCTGCGTTCCCTAGCAACAAGCTTTCTCTCTCCGGCCCCGCCTCTCTGATCCAACCACTCTCCAGCTCCGCTTCCTGATGACGTTAACACCTTGCTTTCCGGGCGCCTAGCAACTGGGGCAGCCTCAGGGATTGGTGCCTAAAAGAAATTCGCCATTCTCATTGGACGACGTAGTCACCGCCCAAACTGAAGCTTAGAAGGCAGTTCACACGGATCCTGGATCCTTGTGAAACAGGATCTCCTCCACCTGTTCTGCGGCTGCACTCTTCCTCTCCTTTCCCTGAAAACACACACACACACACACAAGATAAAAATCTCAGATCCATTTTTTGGGGGGACTGGGGTGGTGGCTCAGTGGTAGAGCGCTCGCCTAGCACGTGTGAGGCACTGGGTTCGATCTTCAGCACCACATAAAAACAAATAAATAAAATAAAGGGTAAACAACAATAAAACAACTCAGATCCCTCTCAGCCCAATTCCTGAGGCCAACAGAAGGAGGAAAGGATAGAACACAAGCACGTTTCCAAACCATACACAGCCAGCCTAGAGTGCTTCTACAAATGCCTCAGTTTCCCAATATGTGACCTGCGGGCATTTGTCTTCTACCACGCCCGCACCTGACCCCTGACAAGTGCCTCTCTGTTCATCCCCTCAAGACCCAGGGAGTCAGCCCTGGGTGGGGTTGGAACAGCAGACAGTCCAAATACAGAAGAGGGAGTATGAGCCAAGAATGCAAAGGAGAAGGGAAGGGAGACAAGGCGTTCAGCCCCCACAGGACTAGTCTGGACATGCTAGGTGCTCCCAGGTAGGACCCCACCCACGCTGGGCGCCTCCTTGAGAAGAGAGAGGAGATGGGGCGAGGGAATCTCAGTCTTTGCAGGTGTTTTATAATTCACAGGAAATCAAGTAATTGGACGGACCTTGAGTTTAGGGGAGGGGTTGAAAGTGAGAAAACAGGGCAGAGTGACCTGGGTCCTGATGGAAGAGGTGACAGGAAGACTCCTGAGGTTCCCGTGGAGAACTGATCTGGACACAAGGTGAAGTCCCTTTTGGATGTTGGTCCCGCCTCTTCAACCTGGAGGCTTCAGAGGACTGCCCTGGGTTCTGACCTCAACTATTTCTCACCCCAGGGTGAAGGTGGGTCTGGATCCGCCCCTCCTCAGCTTCCTATAAGGGCAGAGGACCAGGGACTGCAGGTTCACACACCATGAGACCATCCACAAGACAGGGGACCTTTCTGCTGGCCTCCACTGTGCTCTGCACCCTCTTGGATCTCGGTAAGTGACAAGGGACCTGGACTCCTTCCTGGGACCCCAGCAAAGAGAACTGTGAGAGAGAATTCAGCAAGGTCTTCAAGGAGGAAAGAGGAGGTACCCTGGGAATTCAGATTTATGGAGGAGGCAGAGGAGGCAGAGAATAAGAAGGAGGAAGCCTGGGGCCTCAGGAGAAGAAAAGCTCACTGTGGTTAGAGCCCCGAGAGAGGGGGCTTGGTGGGCTTTGAATCCTCTGTCCTATAGACAGGGTCCCCAAATAAGACATCTGAATTCTAGAAAATCAGAGGAAAGCACGACTAGAAAGGGAAATTTAAAAATAAATAAATAAGAGAGATGTCCTTTCTTTCTGGACTGGGTTCAGACACCTTGCCTCCTTCTTCAGAGAGATGCAGGAGTCCAGGACAGCTTCACTTTTCCTAGGGCCAGGTGTTTAGGTAGAGTTGCCTCCTCTCTTAGGACCAAGGAGTCCATGCTCTCAGTCCTTCCTGGTCCTCACTCTCTCACCTTGCCCTTGGACGCAGACCCCAGCCTCAGGTACCCTACCTGAACTCCTACCATCTATAAGACCTGTGCAGTACCTGTGCGAGAGTCCCACACCCAAGAACCAGCTGGACCTGAAGTTTTACCAAAGTCCGTGAAAACCTTTGGCACGACCCCTCCCTGCCCCCGAGCTTGCACAAAGGACCCTGGCGTCCAAAGTCCCCAGCCTTGTAATTAAGGAAACAGGCTCCAAGTCAGAGTCGCTTCCCGCCCCTGGAAGCCGCTTTGCTGGCAGCACCACTGCTTCCTTGTCACTCTGGACAGTTCCCTGGACAGAAATCAAGGCCCCACCCTTGAAAACACAGGGAGATGCTGGGCCTTCCTCCATCAGGACCCCAAGTCCTCCCCCGACCCGACCCTTTAAACCCCAAAGTCGAATTCATGGACTGCCGTCCACGCCACTTCTGACTACAGACTCGCCCTCTACCCTGCAGGATGGCCTCTAAGCTGTGAGGTGTGTAAAGGCTCCGGGCACACGTGCAGCGGCAAAATGAAGACTTGCGAGGCTGGCAAGGACGCATGCGTGGTTCTCGTGAGCGAGTCCAGCACAAGTAGGAGGGCGCGGCGTCAAGCCCCCCGCAGGGAGGGCGTGCTTTGTGGGTAGAGGGTACCTCCGTCCGGAGGAGGGATCATCACAGTTCTCAGGACAGGTGAAGTGTGGGAAGAAAATCAGAGGAGGGCAGGAAAGAGGGAAAGACCTTAGGAAGATAATTGAGTGATGCAATGGAAACTATTGAGGTAAGGGATTCTGAACATGCCACTGTCCAAAGGAGAAGATGGTGGTGGTCAGGGAGCTAGGTGAGGTAAGGACATGAGGGAAAGAGAGCGAGAGGGAACGAATCTAACAGGCAAGGGGTAGAAATATGGCAGGGGTAAAGAAGGAAGAGGCTGTGTTGGACTCAGGGAATGTGATCAGGGAAGAGACCAAAGACCGGAGGAGAGATGATGTTGGGTTAGGGGGAGAGACAGAAAAGCGACCACCCCAGAGTGGAGAGAGGTGATTCTGAAGCTGGAAGCAAATCTTCATAAGGAGAAGTAGAAATGGAGGAGTGGAGAAGCCCATGAGTAAAGTGGAAGGGAGAGAGGGGGCATGATTTAGAGCCCCACACACCCCCAGATCTGAGAAAGAAGAGGGAGACAGGGAGCAAGGGAAGCCAATCCCCTCCCTCCCTCCCCGGGGCAAGCAGCCACATTCATTCAAAGCTGAAAGAGACCCTTAGTCACAGGAGTAGAGATGCTGGGGACCTAGCAAGGGAATGATGGCTGCTGCAGATGAAGGTCAACTTTGCGATCAGGAAGAAACTATCTGGAGAGGAGGGGATGTGAGTGGAAGTTGGGATAGAAGATTGCTATATTGTCCTGTCCACCCAGCAAGCTCTGGCGGGTGAGGGAAGGACCCAAGAGTCTTGAAGACACCTCCCCAGGCATATAGGTGGGAAATGGACCTTTGGTCAGGGGAAGAAGCAGCTGGGGAAGAGCCAGCCCTCAGAGGGGTACAGAGGGGATAACTTTGAATTTTTGGAGGGAGGCTGTGTAGACTGGAAGAAACCACACCAGACAAGACCTGGGACTAGCCAGGAGGGACAGCAAGAGACCAACGATGGGAGGAGTTCTGGCGAGTAACCATGAAAGAATCTGAGATATGAGTGTGGAGCAGGGGCAGCACCCTGGAGGCTGTTAGAAGGGGCTACTGGGAGGGGAGCAAAGTCTTAAAATCGCACAGACTTGCAAGACTCCTACTGGCAGGGAAGGAGAGAAGCACGGAGGGGTGAAGGGGAATGGTGGAAGAGACCACACCAGGCAGGCACTTGGGACCATGCAGAGACCACCAAAGGCCCACTCCACTCTGTGGCACCAAGGAGAGAGGGCTATCGAATAAACCACTCCAGACCACACACCAGGCAAATCAGGGACTGTCACTTTAGGGGACTGAAAGAGACCATCCTAGGGGGTCGTGGCGTTGTGGAAGTGTAGGGTTAGATCTAAGCCACCTGCTCTGAACTCCTGTCCCCTCTGCAGAGGGCCGGCAGGCAGTGAGCACCTTTAAGGCCTGCATGAAGTTCAGCGACTGCTACTCAGGCTTCGTCTCCACCACCATGAGCCCCAATGACTACATGGTAACCAACGCACGGTGCTGCCAGAGTGACGGCTGCAACAGTGGCTCCGTGCCCCGTAAGTGCCAACTCAGCCCTGCCCCAGGGGCCACTGTGTGTGCTTGGCCCATACTGTAACACCTGGCAAGGCACCTCACTGGTTCTGGGCACCAGTTTCCTTACTTCTAAAATGCAGTTTCCATTAGCAGCCCTGGCATTCCCAGGGCTCTGGGGAAGTTGGGGCAAGAGTGTAAACATTCCTGTTCACTATACACGTCACCCTCATCTGCAGCTCCCCAGAACAATCGTACTGAGAATGGCTTGATGTGCCCCTCCTGCATCGTGCCCTTCCAGGAGACGTGCCCGGGAACCCAGGCAGCTCGCTGTGTTGGCCAGGAAACACATTGCATCTATTTTGCTGGCAACGTGCAGGCTGGTAAGGGGTCCCTGAATCTCTGAGGGTACAGGGATCCCAAAGCTGGAACCCCAAACCTCGCTGTTCCAGGGGAGGAGGGGCTCCCGAGAACTAGGCCAGGAGGTGGTAGGGGTGGAGACTCCTGGGCCATGAGAAGGGGCTGACTCCAGTCTGAAACCCTCCTCCCAGGGATCATCAACACCAAATTTGCCACTCGAGGCTGTGCTACAGAGAGTGCCTGCTACACGAAGGCTGGGGCCGAGGTGCCCTCAGCTTCCTACCTCTACTTCATCCGCCGGGCAGACTGCCTTCCAGCTCCCTATCCCCCTGGCCGGGCTGAGTGAAGACCTGAGGAATATATGGCTGGAGGTCTCCTTTTGTTCTGCTCTGCAGCTCCCCTATAAATTAAACCAGTTAACAGAACAAGCCTGAGTACTTGTGACATGATGCATCTTGGGGAAGTGAGATGCAGAGGGTACAGATCTCAATCCTCTTTTCTAACCTCCTCTTTTCCAGGGATAGAGGGGGGACCTTGCACTTTATTAAGGGACACTCTTTGCCAGGCCCTTGTGCTAAGTGATTTCTATGTTATACCTCATTTTATGATCACAAATCTATGGAAATGAAATTATATCCACTTTTCAGACGAATAAACTGAGGCAGATTGTGGGTGCCACTTGCCTTGGGTTTTAACAGGTAGGAAAGGTCAGAATCTGATTTGAACCTGAGTCTGTGAGACTCCGGAGTTCTTGATTACTTATTTTTTTTCCTGTTTTCTTGTCTACAAAATGTAGATTTTTTTTTTTTCCTTTTCGGTAGTGCTGGGGACTGAACCTAGGGCCTTGTGCATGCGAAGAAAACACTCTACCAACTGAGCTGTATTAGATATTAATAGCTATGACCTTATAATGCTTTTGTAAGAGGCAAATGAAAGGACACTCTAAAAGCACTTAGTATAGTGCCTTCCACCTTTTAAGAGAATGATTCTGTGAGCAATATGTCTAAATAAATAGTAATTATCATAATAGCTGCCACCTATTGAGTGGCCTTTAGTTGGCAGGTGCTAAACCCTGGCACCAGTTGGGACAGACTAGATTTTCTATGACGAAAAACAAATCACTAATTTTGTGGTTTAAAATAACAAAGTTGCCAGGTGTGGTGGCACACACCTATAATCCCAGGAACTCAGGAGGCTGAGGCAGGAAGGAGCATGGAAAGTTCAAGGCCAGTCTCAGCAATTTAGAAAGACCCTGTGACAAAGTAAAAAAATATAAAATAAAAAAGTTTGGGGATATAACTTAATGGTACAGCTCCCTGTGTTCAATCTCTTGCACCCAAATAAAATAAATAAATAAAGCAAAGTTGTATGAATCACCTAATGCTGCAATAAAGCTGTGTAACAAAACATCCCAAACCTGAAACAATATTTTTGCCAAAGGGTTATGGGTTGGCTGGTTAGCTCCACTTCTAGCTGTGTTGGCTGATTTGGCTCTAGTGTGTGTGGGTGATGGGTGGTGGGGGAGGGTATCTTCCCCTTTGTGCGCTTCCATAATCTTCCAGATCAGTTGCTCCCTCAACTGTTCTCATGGCAGATCACAGGAGCACAAATTTGAGTCAAGTATATTGAAGACCCTTGCTGAAGTTAGAACCGCTTGAGCAAGGTAAGTCATATAGCCTAACTCAGTAGCAATGGAGTAGGAAAGTATCCTCCCCCTCCAGTGGGAGGGAGGGAGTTAGGTTTGCTGAATGAGTGCCCATTCACAGCAAATTAGTTGTTCCTTCACTCTACATGTTTAGCAGCATGCACAGCATTCAGCTCATTAGTCATTGAGCAGTCACCAACTTGAACATGGCCAATTTCTTTTTTTTAAATAAGTTTATTTACTTACTTATTTATTTTTAGTTGTAGTTGGACACAACACCTGTATTTTACTTATTTATTTATTTATATGGTGATGAGGATCGAACCCAGCACCTCGTACATGCTCGGCGAGCACTCTACCGCTGAGCCACAACCCCGGCCTGACCATGGCCACTTTCTATACCCAAAGCAAAGAGCCCAGGAAAACCTCACATGTGTGATTAAAAGCTGTGATTTAGCCAGGCGTGGTGGTGTATGCCTGTAATCCCAGTAGCTTGAGAGGCTGAGGCAGGAGGATTGCAATTTCAAAGCCAGCTTCAGCACTTTAGCAAGGCTCTAAGCAACTTAGCAAGATCCAGTCTCAAAAAATAAAAGGTGTTGAGGATGTGATTTAGTGGCAGAATGCTCGTCTTCACCTACTACTGCAAAAAACAAAAACAAAAACAAAAACCCTGTGACTCAGAAATCACTTTAAGCTCCTGAGGCTGGCCTTGAACTTGTGATCCTCCTCCTGCCTTGGGGTCCCCAGTCCTAGTTATTACAGGTGTTGCATCAACCACCACACCCAGCAACACTTTCTACTGGTTCGAGGGAACTAGTCACATGGCCTCACACAACCACAGGGAATCCAGGAAGTGCAATCCCACCCTAGGATTATAAAACTGACAGCTGAATGTTTCACAATAGCACGTAGGACCACCAAGGCCTCTTAGAGCTCATTTCTCATGTTACCTTCACAACTCTGTGATAGGCACTGTTATTCTCGTCCTTGTTTTCAAAAGATGAATCTGAAGCTCACAGAAAGGATTCACATTGAAGATTTGAATCACTGGGAGAAAGAGACCACATCACAGAGAGTAAACAAGTTTGACTGTTGGCTTTCATTGCATAACAAACCACTCCAAAATTCTGTAGTTTATAACAATCAACTTTTATTTAGCTCATTATTCTGTGTATCGGTGAAATGGTCAGGGACCAGCTGGGCGATTCTTCTGCTGGTCTCAGCTGCCAGTCGATTAGGCAGATGTGTTTCTGAGTGTTGGCTGGCTGAGTTGAGGTGCCAAGGACAACTGGGCTACATGTGTCTTCATTACCTAGCAACTGAGCCTAGGCTTCTTAATCTGGCAATGGGGACAGGGGTCCCAGGGACAGCATAAGGAAGTCACGATGCACGAGCACTTTTTAAATCTCTCCTTGCATCAAATTTGCTGTTGCCCCAGTGAATGAGATGAGAGAAGACGATCCAAGGCCACGCTACAGAGAGGCTGAACAAACTGGGGACATTAATGCGTCACACTGGTCTGGAGTAAATGTGCTCGACCATCAAGGTCCTAACAGTCCCCTTCCAGGATGGCGAAACTCAGATCCTGCAGATAAAAGCTCCTAATCAGGAGCCTAAGGAATTGTTCTCTGGACAGATTCCCCATCATCTTTCCCCTACCCTCGGCCCCAGGACTCCAAGCTCCCAGCCTAGTCAGGAGGCTCAGCATTTCCCCCACTCAAACCCCCAAAGAACACACAATAGGATTTCTACACATTTTTATTCATTCCTCCAAAAAACACCACAGGTCACCGTACCCTTGATTTGTCCTTCCTGGTTCCCCACTGCAATGGACACAAGCCCCACCATGACCCAGAAATGCAAAAGCTCTGCTACAGTGATGAGGGTGTCTCATTCATTCTCCCATGTTTTGGGGGTCTTTTCTGCTTTGGCTATGGCAACACGAAGGTACATCACACATTCCCAGGTCTCCCAGCCCTGAGATGCCACATTAGACCCATCCCATGGCAGCCTGTGATCTGTCCATAGGGAATTTTAGCCTTTCCTCCTTGGATGCTCCCAGGGACAGATACCTCACTCACACAATCTTGTGACTCTGCAATTCCTAAACTGAATCCATCAAGTCATGATTAAAGGCCACCAGGGCTGGGGATGTAGGTCAGTGGTAGAACACTTACCCAGCAGAACCCAGGATCTGAGGTCCTAGGTTCAATCCCCCAGGGGCAGGGGGACCCAAAAACAGAAGCAAGCACCAAAAACAGAAGCAATGAAACCCAAAGGTGCCAACATACAACTATATAAACATAACGGCATTCAACACACACACACACACACACACACAAATTGTCTTGTTTTCTTTGATATTATCTCTGGCACGAGGGCACAGGGGATAATAGCAACAAAGCACAGAACAGAGTTGTCCACAAGACAATCTGAGCAAAGGCTTGGCGGTGACAGGTGCCTAAGCTAGAGACATTTTCATGCTGCTCAGGGCTGAAGACGTGTGGGCAAAAGCAAGAGGACTGAGCTCCCAGGCCACCTTCTCAGGAGGGTCTGTAGCATGCTGCACACACACTTATACGTATATCCATCCATACAGGGAACTCTCATAACCTGTATGAGGTAGATGCCATTTGCTGAATGACTTCCCCAAGATCACGCCCAAAGTCAGCAGGCCTGTCTCACCCTACAGCTATGCTAGTAAGTTTCCTGCAATCACAAAAATGTTCTATATTGATACTGGTCAACACTGTAGCCACTAACCACAAGTGGCTACTGAGCACTTGAAATGTGGTAATGCAGCTGAGAAATTGAATTCTTAATTTTTTTTTGAATTTTTAATTTTATTTACCTAATATTTTTTAGTTGTAGATGGACATAATATCTTTATTTTATTTGTTTTTATGTGGTGCTGAGGATTGAACTCAGTGCCTCACACACCCAGGCAAGTGATCTACCACCGAGCCACAATCCTAGTTCCTAATTTTATTTACTTTTAACACTCATCTCAGTTATCAAAGAAGTATTAAATATAATTTGATATTGGGTATATGAATCTATGTCACCTATGAATTTTACTTTTTTCAATACTCGGGATTGAACCCCAGGGCATTCTACCAAGCTAAACTCCCAGCTCTTTACCTTCTTTGATGTAGGGTCTCATATAATTGCTGAGGCTGGCCTTCTTGCAATCCTCCTTCCTCAGCCTCCTGAGTAGCTGGGATTACAGGCATGCACCACTGTGCCCAGCCTGAATTTTGTGAAATTTAAAGAGGTCAAACTTTTCTAATAAAAATTTATTATCTGAATTGAGATGCTCTAGGTTTAAAATACAAAAATGGATCTTGAACTAAATGAATGTAAACTATCTCATTACTACCTTTAACACATTATGTGTTGAAATGATAATATTTGGGGGACATTGGGTTAAACAAAATATTAAAATCAATCTTTCTAAGGCTGAGTGAGTTCTGTGCATGAAGCCTAGAGCCATTTAGCACCAAGTCAATCATGGCCATTTGACTTTGATGGGACAATTTGTGCCAGTGGTAAGATTAAGCAGAAGATGGGGGTACTGTCCCCCAACTATCTGTCCCTCAGAACAGTAACTCTTGTTTTCAGTTGTCAAGGAAAATAGGATCTCGGATGCATTCATGGTTCTCATCCCGCCCTTTCATTTCACAGATGGGAAAATAAGGCATAGGTCCAAGTGACAGAGTGAGTGGTGTAACCATGCTTGCTTCTCTCCATCTTGTTCCTCTTTCCTTTCTGGGAGGCCAAAAATATAAATGTTACCCTAGTTCTTAATTTCATTTTTTTGGTGTGTGGTGCTGGGGATTGAACCCAGGGCCTTGTGTATGCGAGGCAAGCACTCTACAAACTGCTCTATCTCCAGCCCTAAATTTTACCCTAGTTCTGCTACTGATCAGTGAATCTAAAAATATTATTTATTAAACACCTACTGTGTGCCAGATACTGTTCTAGGTATTGACTATATACCAGAGAACAAGACAAGCAAAGAGGTAATAGCCAATAAGCAGGTAAATAATAAATAAATAAATAAGGTCATTTATTATAGTGATATTTGCTACAAGGTAAATCAACTGGCCAGAACCAGTAGCGAGGATGTGCAAGCTACATCAGTTAGGGTGGTCAGGAAGGCCTTTCTGAGGGGACATCTGAGTAGAGACCTGATGGACAAGGAGCCAATCATGGGAAGATATGGAAACAGTGTATTACAAGGGAAAATAACAAGTGCAAAGGTCCTGAGGCAGGACTCAAGATTCTACTCTATCAGAAGAACCTATCAGGCTCATTGGGAATGGGATAGGGCAAAGAATGAGAAGAGGCAGGAGCCAGACCACACGAAGCCTTCTTATGGCTATTGGGCCTCCTGCCTGCCCTCTGGACTTGCTCTTCCCATCTGTTAGATTTTTTGACACTATATAATTTCAGGTTTCCTGCCTACACATAGTTAGCAGCTTAAAACACGCAGGCACTGCAGTTTCTGCCTTTGCCTCACCCCTGACACATTCTCACCATCTGGACTACCTACCTGCTCAGCTGTTCTGTGGCAGTGCTACTGGCTGCAGCACCCTCTGTGTACACCAGAAGGCAGAGTCTCTTAGGAATACCGGAGAAGGCCACACAAAAATGTTTGGACTAGTGCAGCAGTACAGCTGTTTCTCTAAAAGCCAGGTGCACAAAACGCCAAAGCAAAAAAGGGTTAAGGCTATTATGACAGAAGAAACCCAGACTGAAACCAAATGAACAAAAAAGGTAATAGAACCGTAAAGGAAAGACAGAGGTACACCTACCCTGGAGACACCCTGAATCACACAGCACCTAGACAATGGGTAGGCATACCCCTTCCCAAATTCCTGGGAGCAGCTGCCAGGATCCAAGTATATTAGGGAGAGGTGAGAGGTATGTCTGAAGTAGAGGTTCCTGCTCTGCCACACCTAGACCTCAGGCTACCCCAGAGCCCACCATGCACATACCTCTTGCCCACCTGCTACTTTTCTGGGATCATTCTTCCTACACTAGACCCTTGGAGAGCAAATACAAGACACCCATTCACTTCCAAAAGACCATGGAGTCTTGGACTGTCTCTGTTGGCTCCCTGTTCCCTTTTCCATATGTAGCCCTTCAATCATCCAAGAATTAGCAACTAAGGCCCACAGCCCCTGCAAATCAGGAACCTGAGACCTCAGACACACAAATCCCACCCCACAGAAGATTCAAAGCCACTGTCCCTCGGCATCCTGGGAGGCTGTATATAGGCCTTTTCCTTCAAGGAAGCAGATCTTGTTTCCCTTTGAGGGCCAGATTCAAGGGTTCTGGCTCCTGGAAAACCCAGACCTACTTCCCCAATATGGAGCCCAAGATCCCCCTGTTAGGAATCAAGGCATTCTAGCCTTACTTCCCTGGTGAGGCCCCAAAACTCCAGTTGGAGACCAAGATGCACCCTGCTTCTAGGACTCCAGGTCCCCAACATCCGGACAAGGGTCTGGATGGCCTACTCCCTGATCTATAGAGAAATCAGGAGTCCTGTCCTAGACTCTATTCCCCTACACAAATCCAGATGACTAAAAATCAGAACCTGCATCCTCAAACCCCCAGAATTACGAGTATTAGACACCCCCACCCCTTATCTTAAAGGGGCAGACTTCGACCCCCCCCCCCCCATCTAACGGAGCTTGGGTTTAGCAGCCCCAGAAGCCCTGGCTCCCATCCCATCCCTCACTGGGTGTGCTCAGGGGGCGCCAGCACGGCCTCCGCATCTGCCTGCATCTCTTCTAGTGCCTGCAGCAGGACACCATGGGCCGCGCGGTAGCCCAGACCACCAGTCGCAGCTGCGCCACCCGCAGGCCACAGGAAGGACAGTGCACCCAGCGCTGCGCCCCCAGCAGTGCCCTCACCGGCCCAGGCACCCAGTCTTGCTTCCACCTCTGCACGCGTCACTGGGCCTGGGAAGTGAGTACGGGCGGCCAGCTCCCCAGGAGCCAGGCCCAGGGCACGCTCACGTCGTGCCAGGGCCCCAGGTTCAAGCCCCAGAGCCCGCCGCCACTCGGCCAGCTGTCCCCGGAGAAGTGCCACGTCGCACGCCCAGCCTAGCCCTGGTACAGGGGCTGCTGCTGCCGCCAAACTAGCCAACAGAGCCGGCCTCCATGCCCCAGCACGCAGCGCTGCAGCCTTTCTGCAGGCAGCGCCTGGAGATGTGGGGGGCAGCGCCAGCAGCAGCGCCCCAGCCTGGGCTGGTGGAAGCCCGCGCTCCAGCCATTCGCATAGCGCGGGGAGTCCACCAGGCCGCAGGGGAAACACTGGTGGGGGAGCCTCCTCCAGCACCTCCCACGTCTCGTCCTCCGGACTCAAAGCACCGGTGCCCCCTGAGTCCCCACTGCCTGGTTTCTTGGCGCCGACACCTTTGCTGCTAGCCTTCTCTGAATCTTCCCCACCTGCTTTCTGAGATCCAGTGCCAGGTTTTTCCTTTGGGTCGTTGGGTGCATTCTCCAGTCCCCCTTCGCCTTTCTTCTGTAAGTCTGCATCCCTGGGCTTTATTTTTTCCTCTTCCAGAGACTCTGGATCCTCGCCCTCACCATCTGTTCGCACGCAGACGAGGGGCCCATCTGGTACCACCAAGGAGCGGACCTGGGCCCAGTCCTTCTCAGTGGGGGCCCCGAGAGTGACGAGGATGAGGGCATCATAGTGGGTGGGGTGAGGGGCAGCAGCAGGGGAAGTGCCCATGGGACCCAGAGGTACAGTCCAGAGCACTACATTTGGGCGCTCTGGTGCTGGGAAGGGGGTGGGCACTGTGGGTACAGAAGCAGGAACTGCACCAGGGTCGTTGGGATCCAACCCAAGTAGCATGTTCAGCACAAGGCCTATGTCAGTTGTGCCAGTCACTGCCAGGTCCAGTCTTGCGCTGCCCAGGCGCTCCAGGCCTGAGCGCACCCAAGACAAAGCTGCCTCAAGGCCACCGGTCTCAAAGGCCTCCCGCACAGCCTCCAGCTCAGCTGCGCCCAGCACCTCAAAACCATCCTGGGCCGGTGGCAGGAGCCTGTGGGAACAGGGAGGGATGCAGTCAAGGGTAGCTAAACATGGGGAAATCTGGGGAACAAAGCCTGGGCTACTGTGACAAGGGTGGAGCTTTCTGAACAATCCTGGGGTGAGGCAGGAGCAGGAAAGGGAGGGGCCAGACTAATCAGGAGGGCTCTGCTCCTACTCCCAGATCTCAAGGGCCTTGATAAACCCACTGGTTGACTTGGGATCTGGTTCATAAATGAGGGCTCCCCCAGGACCAAGATTTCTCTGGGACACACCCAGGGGTTAGTAGTGGGGGCAGGTTTCCTGGAATCTGTTGGGTGTAACCAACTCATATGGGATTAGCTTAGAGGAAGGACAGAATGGCAACTATATCGTAGCCTAAAGAAATTGAGCACTATTGACAAATGAGGGGGTCTCCAAGTGTGTTCTTTCCAGAAGCCAGGAGTTAGGAGGGTCAGTGAGGGGAGAAACATCTCTGATACTAGCTCCTACCAAGGACATGTGACTAAGGTGACACAAGGCAAGTGAGGCTAAGGAAAAAAGATGCCACTTTTTAAGTTCCAATTTGACATCCGTAAAATGAGGTGGCTGACAGTAGGGGGTGGGGAGTTTAGGAGGTAGCCAGCAAGTGGAAACAGAAAGGAGAGGGAACTGGAGAAAGGAAGTGAGGGAGGACTTCAAGATATAATAAAGGTCATTGCAGGTATGCCTTTTGGGCAACTGGGGTTGCTTGGGAGCCAAATTGATGGTAGGAGAGGAGAAAAGGACTTGAGAATTTGAGTCTGGGTAAAATCTTCACTAGGATCACAAACTTTTGTGGTGAAATGGAGTCTTACTTCAAAAATTTTTTTGCCTGCGGGCAGTATTTGCAGGCTAGCTCCAGGTCCGTCCTAGAATTCTTGCAGAGCTTGTGACCTCAGAAGGCTCTCAGGAGGCGGGGCTTGACAAGGGTCAAGCAGAGCACAAGCTTGGGGTGGAGCCTCTCGGACCTCAAAACCCATGAGGACCAGGCGGGATCTGGGCAAAGGAGAGGAGCCTTGGCAGTAGTCTCCCCTCAAACTCCTCAGGGATGGGGTCTAGACGAAGGGGATCATGCCTCCCCACCCAGCCTGAAAGCCTGTCACTCACCTCTGCAGCGCCTCCGCCTGGCTCCGCAGTGCCACCCGCAGGCGTTCTAGCTCCTCCCAGCAATCGCTGCTGCAGCACTCTGCTGGCAGCACAAAGAGAGTGGCCGCTCCTAACCCGGCGCTGTTCAGCAAGGCTGCTGTCTGAGCCCGGGCATCATTCTGCGAATCCCCATGGCGGAGGTTCCGCACAGCAAGCAGCGGGGTCCCTCGGGCTAGGGCGGCCCGCGCTGCCTCTGCCAATGCTGGGTCCAAGAGCTCCCCGTTCCCCTCGGGCCCGGGTAGCACCAATACCAGCACATTGGCCTCCGCCGCCCAGGGCCCCGGCACCGCGGGTGGGCAGCTCAGTTCACCCAGGAAAAGACCTGGGCCCGCAGCTCTCAAACTAGGGATCCCAGAGTCCGGCCGTCCTTCGGGGATCTCTACCGTCTCCACATTCTTGTCGCAAAGCGCTGCAATTAGCGAGGATTTTCCTGAGCCCGGAGGCCCGAGGAATAAGGCAGTCACGTCACCCCGCGGCGGAAGCATTGCTGGAAAACAAGGGCGGGGAAGACACGAGTCAGGCAACACCTGGCCTTTTTCTTCCTTAGCCCAGTCTTCAGTCCTCCACCCTGTCTCCTATTTCCATACCTGGGTGTCACGCTCCAGGACCTAGAAACCCAGCATATTGGGCTTATTCCCTGGGGGCCCCGGCGCCTATTCACCCTTTTTCTGAGTGCTAACGTTTCCCTTTCTACTTCAACACCTCAGAAGCCCAACCTTCAATCTCCTGTCCCTCGGGGACCCGGGGATGACTCTTCCTCCTCCCAAATCACCAACGGAGCAGAAAGCCAACACACCAGGAGCACAGCTGGTGGCGGCTGGTCAGTCGCAGAGGAGACTGACCAGCCCGGAGGACGGAGGCCGAGGAGGCCAGAACGCCCAGATTTAAAGACATTAGGACGCGATCGGACAGTTCTAACCTGACGCCACTCCCTCTACCAGGCGGGGTATCTTGGAACTTGACGGTGGAGACAGCGTGTTCTTGGCTGCAGAACAGCTGAACCGTGCGCGCTCCCCAGCTTCTGCGGTCTCCGGGCCTAGAACAATGAAGGGGGCGAGGCGCTTGCGCGCCGCGAGCGCCCACCTAACTGGGCGCAGGAAACTTAGATATGTACGGTACACACGGTTCACAACGTCATCACAGTGCGTCCAGGTCAAGGAAGGACCCCCGGCCATTATTCTGAGGACCGGGCCTGTGTGACTGTACTACTGCCGGACAGCAATCCCTGACCTCGGCGTCGAGAGGCTCTTCCGGAGAAAGGACGCGGAGACCCCGGAACCTCGAGTCTGGGTGGGCCCTACCCTACTCCCCTCGGGCGGCGGCACTGTGGCGCGCGGCTGACAGGCGCAGCGAAAGGCAGCCCTCTGCCATAGAAAAGCAGAGGCCGGGACGACTGGTCCGGAGCGGGAGCTGAAGCTGTGCTGCAGCAGCGGGACACTGCGACTGGCAGCGTGCTTGAGAGGCAGCGGCTCTGAGTGGAACAAGCCACAGGATGTCACAGAAAGATGTCTCCCGGGAAGAGGCGGGTTAAAGGGTGGGAACAACGACCCTCCCCAAGATATGAGACTGGAATGAGATTGGTGTCCAGACCAAGGGTCCCACCCTGTCAGGGAGTTAGCTGGGTGGAGGAAGTCATAGGTCACACAGGTGGGAAGGCCCCAGGGGAAATCACAAACCCAGGGAGTCTAATCTAGGTGGGTTGAAGCTTGTCTAGAGAAAGCGCCGTCAGCGAGTTCCAGGAGGTGGGCACTAAAGGATTAGCAGGCTCCTTAGGGCTGGTGACAAATGAGGAGCCTCACGCACGCGTATTCCTGTCTTGACCAGAGGAGTCTCAGTCACCATGGAGGACTCACACCCCGAAGACACCATGGAGCAACAGGATTCACCCAAGGACAGGAGGCCCAGCAGCCCAGGAGGCAACATCTGTGAGTACTGCTGGCCAGAGGAGGGTGACCCACAAGCCTGTGCATTCCGTGCCTATGGTGCTACGGGGCCCTGCCTGTTGGGAAGGGGATGGAACGACCTAGAGCTGGCCTACCAGGAACTGCCTCTCCTCATGCTTATGCTCAGGTGTACTCACCTTGCTCTTGCACCTAGCAGAAAAGGGATGCAGTTCAGAGGGATAGGGTGGCTTCCAAGAGAGGTTTGGGTTAGAAGTGAGGCTAGGAATCTCTCTACTGTGAGGGAAGCACCAAGGTTCTGGCCCCAACTCTGACCTAAATTTTGAATGTGGTGGCCCCTCTATCAAAAGAGGCTGCCACACTGGGCTCAGTGGAACAGGCCTGTAATCCCAGGATCTCTGGCTGAGGCATGAGGATCAAGTACAAGGCCAGCCTCAGGCAACTTAGACTCTGTCTCAAAATAAAAAATGAAAAGGTTGAGGATGTATAGCTGGTAGAGATCCCTGCATTCAGTTCCTAATACAGGAGATGGGAATGGGAGACCTGCCACTACCCACCTCCAAGGGTTGTTATGGGATTAACTGCAGAAAAGGGGGGAAAGCCTGATTTTAATAAAGGTACAATGTTTGACTTACAGTAGCAGCAGCTCCTGTTGAATGCTTAATATGTGCTAGGTGCAGTCATTCTCATACTGAGTTTAACACTCATTCAGTACTCTTAATCATGGACCCCGTGTCACTTTAAGGTGAGGGAAATGAGTCAGAAATATGTAACAAGAGCCGTAGTATCAGTGCAGTCTAGCTAGATCACCAGCAACACATCTGTCTTGTTTGAACAAATTGGGTTTATTGTTCACATATCATGGGGAAACTAGAGTATATCAGGATGTGTTTTTAAAACGGATTTATAGGGAGCTGCGTGCAATGTCACATGCCTGTAATCCCAGTGACTTGGGAGGCTGAGGCAGGAGGATATGTTCAAAGCCAGTCTCAGCAACTCAGTGAGGACCTAAGCAATTTAATGAAATCCTGTCTCAAACAAAAGCCCCAAACAAACAAGCAAAAAACCTGGGGATCTGGCTTAGTGGTTTTAAGTGCCTCTGGGTTTAATCCCCAGTACAAAAAAATAATGTAGCTTACATGTGATGATTTGGGAATGGGTCAAAGAAAGGGGCTTTTGCTAGGGATTAGATACTTCCAGGAAGTAGGAACAGCTCTCACTGGCTCTCTTAACCTTATCTAGGAGGAGAAAAAATATGAGGTCAAGTTGTGATTGATAAAGCAGCTGTGATCACTCACATTAGCAAGAATAGAGGGGTGGCTGGTCATGGCTTAGACAATGTTCACGTTTTGTTTGTATCCAGATATTATTATGGTGTGGTCTTGTCTTGACTCATCCCAGTCGCGGCAACACCTTGTCTGTCACTGTGATTCTGTGGAATGGTGTTCAGAGGAACACCAAGGCCTTGCCATGTCAGGTCAGCTCCCAGATATCAGGCGCTTTTCTCTGTCTTGGGAGTAATAACTGCAAACATTGTTTAAAGCAGCACTATATAAATTAACTAGTTCCTTCCAAAAATCCTAAAAAGAGATGCTGTTATTACCTCATTTTCCAGGTGAGCAAACTGTTGTACTTGCCTAGGAAGTGGTGGAGCTGGGGTCCAATCCCAGGCACTACTCTAGCCACCACACGTTGTGTCAGATAGGCAGATTTCCTGGCCCTACCTTTTCGTTTTCTAGCTTTGTGATTGTGGGTAACTTGCTGACCTATTGAGCCTTGTGTCTGCTCACCCATAAAATGGGTTTTTAACAGTTCTGCACTTGCTTGTACAACACCAGTAGAACACCAAGGCCTTGCCATGTCAGGTCAGCTTCTAGATATCAGGCGCTTTTCTCTGTCTTAGGAATAATAACTGCAAACATTTAACTCATTCCTAGCACATATAGCATTCAGTGGTAGTTGCTGGCATAATTCTGGGGCTTGGGAGAGGTCCTGGATACTCCTGCTGGCCTTCCCCGACCTCTCCCCACATCCCTTAGGCCACCTAGGGGCCCCGCAGTGCACCCGCTGCCTCATCACCTTCGCCGATTCCAAGTTCCAGGAGCGTCACATGAAGCGGGAGCACCCAGCGGACTTCGTGGCCCAGAAACTGCAGGGGGCTCTCTTCATCTGCTTCACCTGCGCCCGCTCCTTCCCCTCCTCCAAGGCCCTGATCATCCACCAGCGCAGCCATGGTCCAGCAGCCAGGCCCTCCTCACCAGGTGCACCCACCACTGCCCAGCCCACCTTCCCTTGTCCTGACTGTGGCAAGACCTTTGGGCAGGCTGCTTCTCTGAGGCGGCACCGCCTGGTGCATGAGGCCCGCACCCACCCTGGTCCCTTTGCTTGTACAGAGTGTGGTCAGGACTTTGCCCAGGAAGCAGGGCTCCATCAACACTATATTCGACATGCTCGGGGGGAGCTCTGAGTACAGTGTAAGCCCTCCACAGTGCTTAAGATGCGCACTCTGGTTGGTGGGACCCACCCATGATAAGGGCACAGGTCTTCTGGGGGCTTTGAAGGGATTTGCTTCCCACCCTGGGAAGGCAAAAAGGCTCTGGACAAATAGGACCCAGAAGGTTGTCATTTAGACTTTCAGTCTTTAGCAGACATAGGTCCTTTAGGGAAACAGTGAAATCAGCAAACAGTGAGATCTTTTTAAGAAAATGAGCAAGGAAAAAAAAAAAAGAAGAAAAAAATGCACAATAGAGAAGGAAAAATTATTCTCCCTCATTCCCAGTTAAATAACTAGCTGCAGATTGTGTAATCACCTTTAATGTTTCCCAGATGGGTGCCATGGGCTGCAGGAGCAAATTGCCCTAGATCTGTGCCTGAGTAGGGGGCAGGGAAGGGCGGTGCTGCTATCCTGTAATGAGACTGGGTGCGTTCCAGAACTGGAGCAACCTGGGTATTTGGGGATGGGGCAGCAAGGTGGGAGCCAGACCCCAAGTCAAAAGGCATTGCAGTTTAGGTCCTGTCTCCTCCCTGTCTGCCAGCCCTCCCCACTCAGAGAGCAGCCATGGCATTGGATGACACAAGAGCATTATGCCCTATTTAAATAATTTTGTGTACCATTCTAGGAATGGGATTTTTTTTTTTTAATATATGTGTAGGGGAGATGGCATGAATAAGCTAACAGGAATAGTATCTAAAAACTAAACATCCATATTAAAATGTCTAAACAGGGAGCTCTGGCTTTTGAGTGGGAATTGCTAGAGAACATAAGGATGTGGGGAGGAGGGAGCTCAGGGCAGAGTTGGCCTAGTCCTGTAGGGAAACTAGTTTGGAGTCAAACAGAGATACCTTCTGCTTCATGTTTCATTTGGCCAACACTGGGAGATTTCCCATTAAGATCCTATTTTCAGTTCTCTTGAAAAGACCAGGACTTACACTGTCAGCAGGGCAAAAGCTACAAGCTGCAGCTAAGCGGTGAGTGTCGCCCTCAACCGGAGATAAGTCCTTCCAGGCCCATTTTAGTCCCTAACAATGCCTGCCCTGCCTCTGGAGACAATAGCTGATGCTCTGCATTCATTGCTCAGGCTGTATTTGAATTGAGGGATGTTTTTTAAATCCACAGGTGAGGTGGTTATGGGAGAAATTGATAGCTCTCTCAATTTTTAGTTAGGCATATGGGAGCACAAGACCACACATCCCAGACTCCCCTGCAGCTAAATGTGGTCATGTGGCTGAGTTCTGGCTAAACTCCTAGGTAAAATAGTCAGGCCTGAAAAAGGTACATGTCCTTCCTCTAATTGGAATGTGGACACGGTGCCCAGCCACCTTGGACTGTGAGTACAAGAGCAGTATATGGGACGGCAGAGCAACAACACAGCAGGAGCCTGGGTCTCTGGCCAACCTCACAGGATGTCACCATACCAGCCACCATTCTGATAACATGTAAGAGAAGCAACTGTATCTTGTTTAAGCCACCATAATTTTGGGTCTCTTGTTTTAGGCAGCAGAATTTCAAGCCCAAGGCAGGAGTCTGCAAACTATGGCAAAATCAAGCCAGCTGCTGCTGAGTTTTACAAATAAAGTTTTATTGGAACGTACTTGGCCTTTTTCTTTTCTTTTCTTTCTTTTTTTTTTTTTTTTGTTCTATGGCTGTTTTCACATTGAATGGCAGATTTGAGTAGTTGCAGCAGAGCCTCATGGTCCACAAATCCATTTGTCCCTTTAGCATAAAAGTTTGTGAACCCCTTATTTAACTGAAGACTCCTGTTGGACTCTCTCTCTTCAAACCTACTCTGAGTCTGGAATCACAGATTCCCACCCTGGGAAATACTAGTCCTACCTGGTGTGTGTGTGTGTGCACGTGCATGTGCATAGGATTTGGGACAGGTCTATCCTGGAACTCTTTGCTGAGGTGACTTATGGGGAAACAGGTTTATAGTTAGTTGACTATCACACTTCTTTTCTCCCAAGATATCAACTTGACCAAAGCCAAATATTCCATTTGGCAACGGTGAAAGCCTAGGTGTTTCCAGTTCAGATATTTTCACATTACTCCCATAGTGGCTCCCCTAATCCCAAATAAGGGCCACATGTTCTCCCACTATAAATAGTGGCCTCAATTACCCTTTGGATTTCCTGTTCTCTCCACATTTCTCAGATGCCATAGATTCCTAAGACTCTACATAGCATCACTGTTGGCTTCCAAATGTTCATCTACAGCCCAAACCCCAAGCATGTGGTATAGTCACCTGGACAATGAATCTCAAAATGGGTCAACATGACTCTTACAGTCTCTGGCCTCTTGCACAACTGCCTGCATGACTCTTAAGTTCTTGAGTCTCCTAACTGCTCCCCTTGCTACCACTCCCCCCTCCAGCCTCTACTATAGACTACCCTGTGTGTAAAGTCAGCTTACATCACTCTGCTCTTATAACCCTACAGCACCCCATAAGTAATATTTGAAGACAAGCCAACAAAACCTGATTATGACTGAGTTCCAGCCCAGAAAGCAATAAAATCCCTTCCTCTTGTTCAAGCTGCACATGCCAGACTGCTTCTGCCTCAGGGCCTTGGCACTTGCTATTTCCTTTGGAGTGCTCTTACATCAGAACTTTGCAAAGCTGACTCCCCATCAGTCAGGTCTCAACACAGCCACCTCCTAAGAGAAGTCCCCCTCAGCCTGCCTAATTAGGAGTCACTCCCACCCCTTCTTCTGACTTATTTTCTGCAGAGCACTCTTTAGCAGCTGAAATCAACACCCTTTGGTTGATGTGATTATTTGTGTCTTTTTATACTCTAACAGCTCCTGAGAGCAGGAAATGTCATATCTCAGACCCCCACTGCTTCATCCTATGCCCAAGATGGAGCTTAGGGTGGAGTCTTGGAAATACTCATTCATGGGGCTGGGGATGTGGCTCAATGGTAGCATGCTCCCCTAGCATGTGTGAGGCACTGGGTTCGATTCTCAGCACCACATAAAAATAAATAAAGAATTAAGATATTGTGTCTACCTGAAAAAAAAAAACTAAAAATAAATATTTAAAAAAAAAAGAAAGAAAATACTCATTCACTAAGCCTCCATGATGCTGGGGCTTTCTGGAAACTATTTCCCACATTCCTTTGCTGCCAGTGATGTCTGCTGTCAGGAATGGGATTAAGTGACCTTAAAAGAGCTCCAGGGAACTAGCTAGGCCCTTCAATCTCTTCCACCGTGACACATCAAGAAGGCACCATCTTGGAAGAAGAGAGCAGCCCTCGCCAGCCACTGACGCTGATGGTACTTAGTCTCCAGAACTGTGAGAAATGCATTTTTAATCTTTATAAGGCACCCAGTCTCAGGTATTTTGTTACAATAAAACATCTTGTTTTTACCAGCTGTGAATTTATGCCTTGACGCCTCAGATTCTGTGATGATCAGTGACAAAGGTTATAGAAGTTCCATTTCAAAGATTAGATGTCAGGTTCTGTGACTTGGATGAGAAGTGTGGGTTTTGAAAGACACTTTGGTCCAAGATCCTACAACAGGTATCAAATGTGTTCTGTGCCAGGCAGGTCAGGCATGGGGCACCCCAGAATGAATGCCTCTCCCATAGGAGGTGGCCCCCAGTCAGTATATCAAACTACTGCCTCATGGGAGGGAGTCCCACTCTCATAATTTTTCAAGAAGGCAGAAACTTCCATTTTTATGTGAAATTTCCCAATTTTCAATGTTGGTAATCAATGTGATCTTAAAAACTTCAGTAGCTAGCCAGACATGGTGGCGTGTGACAGTAATCCCAGCTATTGAGGAGGCTGAGGCAGGAGAATCACAAGTCCCAGGCTGGCCTCGGCAACTTAGGAGGACCATCTCAAAATAAAAAATAAAACATAAATAATTGGGATTGTAGCTCAGTAGTAAATTGCCCCTAGTTTGAATCCTCAACACTGCAAAAAATAAGCCCTCAACAGAGACAGCTACATCCTTTCAAGTCAGCCTGACTAGCTGTGGGCAGCCACAGTGGTGTGCAGCTCAGTAGTGGAACCTATGCCCTGCACCAGGTTGTCTGGGTTAAAACCTGAGCTCTGCTTCTCACTGGCTGTGTGACTTCTAGCAGGTAACTCAATGGCTGTACATTCCTGCTACAGCAGCTATAAAATGGTCATGAAAATTGCCCCTATGTTACTACGAGGACTCAGAGGAAGCCAAGGTGCCACGGCCGACATGGCACAGCCCTCGGCTGCGCTGCCCCACCTCCTACCAGTCCTCCCCTTGCTCCCAGAGCTCATGGCGCCTCGTGCACTTCCTCACACATCCCAAGCAGGCCCCCCAGACTCTTGCACTCAGTGTTTCCCCAGACAGCCCAGTGGCTCACTCCTTTCCCTTGTCCAGGTCCTGATTTGATGTCACCTTCTCAGGTACTTGACCTCAGTGGTCCCTGACCACCATGTTGAACACTACAACCTTCACACACACCAGCTTCCCACTGCACTTCCTATTTCTTCTGCCTTCTACACATTTTGTATATTTCACTTAATCATCTGCTTACTGTCTTCCCCACTGTAACACAACCTCCGTGAAGGCAGAGGGTTTTTTTCTGTTTGCTGCGGCAGTCCTAGCTCCCAGAACAGAGCCTGCCTCTCACAAGTACTTGATAAAGCACTGCTGAATGAATGAGAAGAAACCACAACAGTCCCTACCTCCTAAGGATCCCAGGTATTTGTTCACATAAAGCACTTAGCCCAGGGCCTGGTCCGCTGGCAGTGTTGACTCAATGATGCATCATGGTGATTCAGGTCCTTTCTTGGAGGTTCTTAGTTGCCAGGCTTCTATGAGCGAACCCATGTAAAGCACCAGAGAACGCGGCTTGGCACGTGTAAATGTTCAGTAAACGGTGACTATCATGATTAGGTGTCTATTTTTCAAAGCAGCTTTGGTGCCAATCCTCTGCCAATTAGTACTTCCCATCCCAGAGAGCCCAGGTTTCACCAAGGCTGCAATGAGCCAGCCCTCTGCTACCCTCTGACCCTCACTGATCCTTCAGCTCGGCCCTCCTCCCTCCCTTGCTGTCACTCGGGTCTCCCTGACATCCCAGGTGGGCTCCTACTCCACTCAACTGCATCTCTCTCCTCCACCCACAAGCACGGCTCCCTCCCTCCTTCCTTCAGGTCTTGGTCACCTTCTCAGGGAAGACTATGCTACTTAAAAGGGCAACCCCTTCCAGAACTGTTCTCCCCTCTCTCCCTCTCCTTTATTTTCTCTACAGCATTTACCACCATCCAGCGTTTGCTGTATCTCATTTGTTTTCTGTCTGTCTCCAGTGGCAGCCCATACTCACCCCACATCAACTCCACGAAGACAAGGATCTTATTCACTGGTGCATTCTCAATGCTTAGCACACAGCAGGTGATCAAAAATTATTTGTTAAATGAAATGCATTACAATCCCTACTTGACAAAGTTATTTCAAGAACCAGATGATCTCATGCAAATAAAGTACAGCACTGTTCAAGTCTTGGGAAGATGGGAGCTAGAATTATCATGAAGTTTCTATTTTTGTAAGTTCCTAGATGCATAATTTCTGAGTCCATATACATTAAGCCGTTGGCCCAGAACCAGACTCTCAGGAAATGCTTGCAAAGCCTTGTATGATTCTGATGGCAGTCCTCTTTGTGAGGTACTCAGGCAATGTGACACTAGCTGTCCCCCACAAACCATATCCTACTTTCTGGGGCCTGAACTAGACTGCCTTTCCCAGGTTGCTTTGCAGTTGGCTCCTTGGTTAAGGCAGGCCAGGGCTCGCAGAAGAAATTCCAGGCTCCCTGTCCTCCCCGACCAGTGGGGCCCAAGTGTGGCCACCCACCCTGTGTGGGTGATGATAGTCTTAAGGGGCAGCCTGGTTACCAAATCACCCACCTGAGACTATTAAATGAGTGAGAAACAAAATTCTGTTGTGTTGGAGCCTCTTCATCCTGGAGTCTACGAGTAAATACATGAACCACACAGATGGCCAGCCGTTAGGAAATGGAGATCATCCTGGCCACCATGACCCTGAGGTGCCATAAGGAGAAGCCTGGGGTGGGGGTGGGGATAAAGGCCCAGGTGTGTATCATATATCTCACACACACGCACCCCCCACCAAACACATGCTAGGCCAGCACACACAGAATTTGCCTTTTATTCCGGCCTTCACATGTCTACTACTAAGACAACACAGATCAGCGGTACCCCACTCCCCATGACCACGCTGGCTTCCTCAGCCCCCTCCTCCCACCCCACCCCTCTGCCCAGCTCCCTGGGTGGGGGGCTCTGCCTACACCTCACCCCGGGCATGCAGCATGAAGTGGCCGTGGAGCTCGCCGAGGTTGTCAAAGGAGTCCTCGCACTCTGTACAGTGGTAAGTGCCCTCCTCCTCCTCATCGTCCTCCTCCCCCCGCCCAGCTGGCCGTCCCTCCCCAGCTCGGGGTGGCTCCTCCTCTTCCTCCCTGAGGGCCCTCCCTTCAGGGGCTGGTGCTTCCTGGGGAGCTGTAGCAGGGCAGCAGAGCCGGCAAGGTGGGGTGCCCGGTGGGACCTCCCCAAGCGGTGAGCGGCCACAGAGCTGGCAAGGCTGGGCTGGGGGACCTGGGGGTTGGGCTGCACGGGGGGCCCGGCGAGACGGGCCTCCCCGGCCTCCCCCAAGGCGCTGCTTCACCTTGTAGCCCGGGTCATATTCGGGATCATCAGTGGTCTCCTCCTCCTCCTCCTCTTCATCTTCTTCTTCTTCAGAATCCGGCTCTGAGAGAGTATATTCGGAGTCAGAGGAATGCTCAGGGCCTGTCAGGACAGACGAGGGGAGAGAGTGGTGTCAGAGGACAGAGGGCTAAGCCCAACTGCCCCCATTCAGACCTGTAGGATGGAGAGGGCAGCCCGGCATGATCTTCCTTCTCCACAGATGGGGCCTCGGGGCACAGAATTGGGCCTGGCACACAGTAGATGCTCCATATCTGTGTGTCCAGAGAATGAATGTCTAGCAAGAACCGCGTCTGGGGTGGAGTGGGGTTAGCGGCAACAATAAAGCATTCACTGCTATTTTAAAAGTCCTGCTCTTTATTTATCTACACACACACACACACACACACACACACGGCAAAGCTTAAAGCAACCCTTGGAAGGAGGGTACCACTGTTACTCCACCTGATAAATGTGGAAAGTGAGGCACAGAGCAGCAGGACTCCACTCAGCTGACACAGAGAGCTACATAGGTGCTGGCCAACACCCACCGCATTTGAACAGGGAGTTAAACAAATTAAAACACACATAACATCATTTGGGGAAGAAACCATACACACATAAGCATGTATGTGGATGTATGTGGTCATGTGGAGGAGATACATTTTTTTCTAAGTATAGATACATTACGGTGATTTCGTGGGTAGGAAGGACATACCTAGGACAAGTTTAGGTTTAAGAAAAGGGGACATTTTGAAGTTGACATACAGGAAAGGGCGTTATCAGCAGGTGGTCTGGGGGTGCACATGCAGAGCAAACCCCACGATGACAGGGAAACAGTGGCTTCCTCAGCTGCCAGGGAGGGCCCTGCCCAAGGACTCTCGGGGGCGGCACCAACCTTACCCTCATCCACCGCCCGAGGACCCTACTTCCTCGGAGCTGGCCAGGGCACCTGTGCTCTGCCCACAACAGAACAGCGGCCACAGGCCTTCTGGCACCTCTCTGACCTCCTTTTCTGTCCTCTCCAGCCACAGTGGGCTCCTGGCTATCTCTCAACACTCCCGGAATGAACCCACCTCAGAGCCTTCGCTGTAGACCACACTCACTCCCTCTTCTCCTCAACTCTGCTCCACTGTCACCTTCTCAGGAACTCCCTAGTCACTTACCCTGTGTACCAGCAGTCCTCCCCAGCCCTCCCTCTGCCCCTTACTCCACTTTTCTTTCATATCCGTCTCACTGCTCACAGCACATGCCTGTGGGGTGTGCACCGTCTGTTCCTGAGAGCAGAGACCGAGGCTCACCGTGAGGCGTGACATCTAGCGTTTTAGTGCCTGCATGTTTGTGGAACGGAGACCTTTGCATCCATCTTCCAGGCCTCTTCTGAAACATGGCTCTTCCCTCTGCTGTGAATATCCTGCCCTAGATTCCAGTGAGGACCCAGGAGGAGGCTCCTTCTTTGGTGACACTATCCCAGACTTCCTCACCCCAGGCAGCTAATCACCATTTCTACTGTGCTTCTGCTGTCCCAGCTGTCCCCAGCTCTGAGCCCAAAGGGCTATGCATTTGTGTCCAGGTTCCATCCCCACCAGACCAGGGACAGTCCTGTGTGGCTCACTGCTGGGTCCCTGTCTCACCAGCCCAGAACAGGTTACGAATACCTGCTGAACAGCCTCCCACAGCTCCGGCTGCTCGTGCCCCATCCTGCTACATCCTGCTGTTTACCAAACGTTTCCTGAGGCCTTGATGTGTACTGATCCCTGTGCCTGGAATGCTGTCCCCGACTCTTTCCACCTGGTCACCTAGTCATTTTCAGGACCCAGCATGGGCTGTTCTCCCTGAAGCCATTACCCTGATTCCCCCAGCTACCATCCAGGGGTCTCTCCCAAACTCACTCTGCCCTGGCTACCCCACCTAAGGTCCCCCATAACTGTCCTTAGAGTGTAGCTTCCAGAACCTCATATGTCTCCCCCATCAGACTGAGAACCCCTCAAGGGCAGTTCTGACCTCAGGTCCCACCACTGTCTAGCAGAGGACGTGCAGGTCAATGGCTGACAGTGGCCCGAGCTCTGACCTCCCTCCCTAGGGGACCCTATCCTACTCTGTGGACAATAACTGCTCCTCTTCAAGGCCCAGCTCACATGCTACCTCCTCTGCAAAGTTCACCCAGCCCCCAGTGGTTGATGTTTGTTCACTGGATTCCTTCAACCACTGGACCCCTATCACACTCTGACCACCTTGGGCAGTGACTGAGCAGGTCTGGAGGCTGAAGACTCTTCGAGGAAGGGCTAGGACTATCACCAACCCCTCCGTGTCTCCAGCAATGCTGAGCATGTCTGTCTCTGAGACATTTGCTGAATAGCTACAAAACGGTGGCAATATCTCCAACTTTGGACCAGGGTCCCTCCCGCTCTCTCACGCCTGACTTCACACTGTCCATCCTCCAGATGCTTCAGTGCCCACTATGACTTCACATAGTGGGCCCATGACAGGCAATCAGGTCACTATCCATGGCTACCAGGTCTTCCATGTCCACCATGACTTCTAGGACCACAAGCCCTTTTGCACCCATCATGCCTTCACCTAAGAGATCCTCAAAGCCCAGCACGTCTGTGGCTTCTACTGGATCCTCCATGCCTGCTACGGCTCCCATATCTCCTGCCTCCTTGAAGGTCACCAAATCAGCAATGCCCAACACCTCCTCAGTAGCCCCCAAGCCATCAACATCCCCCAACTCAGTCATGAGCCCAAGTAGTTCCAAGTCCACCAAATCAACAAGTACAAAGTCGGCCACTTCTAACCAGTCCCGTAGCAAGTCCCAAGTCCGCAATAAGGTAAGAACGCCCAGTAGGGCAAGCACCGACACAAGGACCAGCAAAGGCAGCAAGACCAGCAACACAAAACACCATCATCAGAAAGGCACGCACAGCCGGGGCCGCACACCTGGCAGAAGGAGCAGTCGCAGCTCTACGAGGTCACCCAGCAGGGCCAGCACTCCTACCAGGATGAGAACTCATGGTGCCAAATCAGGCTTAGCTAAAAGGGCGAGAACTCCTACTTCCCATCCAAAATGGAGTCGGGACAAGAGTTATAGCCGGCTTAGAACCAACACCCAGGAAAAGAGCGACAGCCAGCTTAAAAATATGAGCAGGAAAAAGAGTTACGGCCCACGAGAAGCCTTAGGTGTGGGGAGCAGTTCCAGGTTGCCTGTAACCCCCAGCCGCTCAAAGAGTTACAGCCCAACTAGAACACCCTTTCAGGGGAAGGGCAACAGCCAGTCTCCAACACCAACAAGGAGAGTGAAGAGTTCTAGTCAGATGACGGCCCCCAAGAGGGAACCAAGTTACAGCCCAACTGAAGTGGCCAAGAGGACCAAGACGTATACCCAGTCTAGCACCCCCAGAAGGACCCGAAATTACAGCCAGTCCAGCACCCCCAGAAGGACCCGAAATCACAGCCAGTCCAGCAACCCCAGAAGGACAAGAAGTCACAGCCTCTCTAGCACCCAAAGCAGGACCTGGAGTCACAGCCTGTCCAGCACCCCCAGCAGCACCCCCAGCAGGACCCGAAGTCATAGCGGATCTAAAACCCCTAGAAAAACGAGAAGTCATAGTCGGAGGAGGACCCACAGCAGGATGAGAAGTCACAGTTGGAAGAGAAATCATAGTAGGGCAAGAAGTCACAACTGGAAGGGAACTCCCAGACATAGAAGAAGATACAGTCAGTCTATAACCCACAGGAGGAGGAAAAGTCAGAACCATTCTAGAATCCTCAGAAAGGAAAGAGGTCACAATTGGTCAAGAACCCCCAGTGAGGAAAGAAGTCACAGCCATTCTAGAAGTGGCAGCAAGGAGAGAGACCTTAGCCCATCTAGAACTTCCAGCAAGGAGTCAGATCACAGCCAATCTAGAATCACCAGGAGGAAGAAAGATCCTGGCCAACCTACAACTTCTAAGAGTCTCAGTGCGAAGAGATCTCCTAGCAGGAAAAGAACTTCCAGTCAGGACAGAACGCATAGCAAGACAAGGAACCACTCCCAATCAAAATTTCCCAGTGGAGCCCAAACCCTAGGCCAGGACAATAGTCAAGACAATACTCCCACCACTAAAGCCATCTCACCTGGGGAGAGGTCTTCATCATCTTCTTCTAAGCTGGCGTAGCCCCCAGTCTCAGCTGGCTCCCGAGTCTCTGTCATGGCCAGGGGAGGGGATGGGAGACAGGAGAAGAGCAGCAGCTCTTCAGTCACACCTCCGGCCACCAATTCTTCTAATACAGGATGTTGGCAGGTAGAGAGGGATGCTGGACAGGGAAAAGGAAAGGCCTGTGGTGACTCAATAAATTTTTACATAGTGCTCGTCCCCATTCCAAGTCCCACTGTGTGCTAAATGCTGGGGTGAGGCTCTGTCTCAGACTGTCTTCAGAGCCCCAGCTGTAGCCCTTGCCCCTCTGGAGGCCTTAATTTCTTTATCTGGGCAATGAGATTGTTTTGTGGTTCTTATTCAATGGGGTAGGAAGGGTGACATTCCATATATTTAACAGTAGATATTGGCATAGGCGCACTAATCAGAATTAAAGAATGGGGCAGGCATAAACCCTTTTGGAGCTGGATTGTGGGGAGGTCCAGGGCTGGAAGAGGATCCAAAGTGGTAGTTAGGGATACAGAGTACTTGGTATTTCAAAACTGAAACAACTGAAGATGGGTAGCATGGCACACACCTGTAATCCCAGTGACTCAGAAGGCTGAGTTTACAAGATCAAGGTCAGCCTCAGCAATTTAGCAAGACTCTCAGCATTTTGATGAGATCCTGTCTCAAATAAAAAAATTAAAAATGGGGCTGGGGTTGTGGCTCAGTGGTAGAGCACTCGCCTAGCAGGTGCGAGGCGCTGGGTTCGATCCTCAGCACCACATAACAATAAATAAAATAAAGATATTGTGTCCAACTACAACTAAAACAAAATATTAAAAAATAAAAAAAAATAAAATAAAAAGGACTAGGAATGTAGCTCAGTGGAAAAATGCATTTTAAAAAAATTAAGCAATTGATATGGTTGCACCAGTTTGTGAATGTCAGCCTTAGTTGTGTATCAAGTGTCAAGAGAAGTGTTTAGGTAAGTATCCTAAATCTGTCACTCTTTAGCTAGGGAGCTTTAAGCAAAGGACCTAACTACCTTCTCTATATGAAAGAGGTATCTAGGCCTTGACTTACACAAACCTCCAAACCATGTTGAGACATTATCTTCTTTGTACAGATGAGGAAGGTGAGGTAGAAGATAAATGAGTAGTCCAAGGTCACAACATCTGGGAGGTGGTCAAACTAGAATTTGAAGCTATGTCATCCTACCTCTCATAAAATGATTTTGATGGCTCAAGAGATTTTTTTTTGAAGATTTGGTAGACTCACAAATTGCTGGTATGTGACAGGAACTCCATGAACTTCCAGCCATCCCAGGCTCCTCACCTCTCCCTGTGCACACCAGGTCTTATTACATCTGAGGTCTTGGTGCGCCCTCTGGAATGTCCTTTTTGGCCCCTGTAGATCTGGAGATCTCCTTTTCACCCTTCAAAGCCTACTACAAACACAAGAACCTCTACACTTCTTCCCAGACCAAACACTCTGCCTCTCCCAGGGAGACTTTCCTAATCCTTCTCTTTTATTTCCTCTTTACCAAAAGACCCCCCTGAAAACATAGATAGTACTTTCTGTTTCTCCTACTGCACTCCCTAATGGTGGAGAGCCATGCTGGGCCAGTTAGTGAAGGGGCTGGCAAATCCCCTTATATGACAAAGCCTGTGATAGGCACTGGGGATACAATGGTGGAAAATACCTGTCTTCAAAGCCCAGAGGTCAAGTTCATTGCTGAGGACTTAAGATCACACTGAAGCCTGGAAAAAGATGAAACTTGGCAGGAGAACTTCCTAAAGAAGACAATTGGAAGCTGGGTACAATAGCACATGCCTATAATCCCGGCTACTCAGGAGGCTGAGGCAAGAGTATGAAAAGTTCAAGGCTAGCCTTTGCAACTTAAGAGAGACCTTGTCTCAAAATTAATTTTAAAAGGGCTGGGGATGAAGCTCAGTAGTAGAAAGCCCCTGGGTTCAATCCCCAGTGACACAAAGATATCTGGATCTGAGTTTGTAAGGATAGAGAGAATTAAAAATTGGCAAAGAAGAGTTTTTATAATACCCTAGTATATATAGGAAATTCTAATTTGGAAATTCTACCGTATGCCTGGATAAAAATGACAGATTTAGCAAATAAAAACAGGACACCGAGTTAAATGTGAATTTCAGATAAATAAGAATTATTTAATATATGTATATTCATGCAATATTTGGGATGATCTTTCTGTCTTCCTTTTGGGGGGGTACTGGTGGGTGGGTTATGGGGATTGAACCCAGGTATGCTCTGCCACTGAGCCCTTTTCATTTATTTATTTATTTATTTTTGACACAGGGTCTCTTTAAGTTGTCCAGGCTGGTGTGAACTTGCAATCCTCCTGCCTCAGCCTTCTGAGTAGCTGAGATCACAGGCTGTGGCACCCTTGTACTTTTCTAAGATTGTTATTTACCTGAAATTTTACTGGACATTCTAATTCTATCTGGCAACCGTACAACAGGGACAATCAGGACCTCGCAAGAGGTTACCTGAAGACAACGCCCACCATTCCAGCCCACCCCTCCCCAAACTCACATCACACAAGGCCCTTTCGGAGTATTCCATACTCTGGAATACTAAGCACTTAAGTCACACAACACCTATGGTGGTCAGATTGGCTCCCAAGATCTTAAAGGAGTATAAATAAAGCTCCGTCACAACCAACAGGCAAAATCGGTGACCTGGACCCAGCAATGCCCTGAGCCTACAACAACCTATTCCCAGAATGGCCCGCCTAAAAACAGCAGGAACGCACTAGCACATATGGTAAGGCAAGGACCTTATACAAAACAATAAGGACCGGTCCCCACAATGCCCTGCGGCAATTCTTCCCAGGATGCTTCGGGCCTATAATGACCACCTTCCAAGACGCCCTACACCGAAGCACTGCCGACTTCCAGGATGCTCAGTAGAGGGCGCAGGACAAAAGGGACCGGACCCCCACAGGGATTTAGGGTAATCCTTCCCAGGATACACCAGGCCTATAACGACCAGCAGACCGACTCCAACGCTGTTAAGACGCAGTGCTGGCTTTCCCAGGATGCCCCAGGAGCGTGCGGAGCCGCGTAGGGGAAGGAAAGGAGTCCGGGTCTTGCCCTCAGGTCATCACGGCTCAAGACCGCTGCAGGCTCCTCGGTGACGGCTGCCGCCGCTCCCATCATGCAGCGGGGCCGTAGCGCCCGCTTCCCAGCATGCCCCGCGCACCCCGACCGCGGACACTCACCGGGGCTGGCGGCCCCAGCTCCGGTTCGGCGGTGGCGGCTGCACGCCCAGACTCTGCGCCTGCGTTGCAAGCAGAGTAGGAGGGAGAGCAAGGGGCGTGAGGAGCCTAGGGCGCTTGCGCAGCCAGATGGACCATTCCTGTCGCACTGTGGGAAGAGGGGCTATCCGAGTCGGGCCACGGAGGGAACCCGCGCACGGGTTGCCGTGCTTTGCCCCTCACTGCCCGCGTTTACTTGGTACAGTCCGCGGCCTGAAGGATCGAGAAGCTCCAGGGCTCGCGCGTGCGTGTGCGTGGCTGGAACGCGCTTTATGAAAATGGGATGCGTTGTGGGTGGAGGGCGACCACTCGGCCGGGATCCTGGATCCGAGGCCTTCTCATTTACATAATCCTAGCGCGGGACAAAGGAGGGCCTCGGGCACTGGAAGGAGTGATTTGCATATGCCTGGGAGAGGCTGTACTCTCGAGCGCAGTGATTAGCATATGGGGGGGGGCTTGAGTAAAGCGCATGCGCTTAGGAACTGCAGACTAGTGCCAAGTGCCTAAATCTTGTCTTAGTTGGGTATCAGTTTACATCCGAAGACAGTTGGCAAGAGCCATGATCTCTATCAATCTTTACACCCCTCCAAGCAGGATAAATATTTATTGATCTCTTCTGTGCCAGGCGTGTGCTGGTGAACACTTTTTTTTTTTTTTTTTTTTTGCAGTGAATAGGACAGATCTGGCCCCATCTTCGTGGCGCTATGGTCAACGGAAGGTCTACACATAATTAGACTACTACCTAAAACGGTCACACCTGGAATGGTTGGCGCATAGGAAGCTGTGGGTGCCAGAAGAAGCGCCCGCCTCAGCCTGGGATACTGGAAAGACTTCCAAAAGGTGGTGATTTTTAAGCCAAGTATGAATAGGTGCCAACTAGAATGGGAGTCTTTCTGGCAGAAGGAACATCAAGGTCAAAAGCCCAGAGGCAGGCAAAACAACAACAACAAGTACATAGTTTGAAGAAGTGAAAGCAGCTTACTGTCCCTGAAACACAATTGGAGAAGGGAAATTCTACGGGCGATTTTAAAGAGCTTAGACTTTATTCTGAGTATAGAAAGCCGTTGCAAGGTTCCAGCCTTCTAGGAAGAAGTAACTTTGTCACGCAGCAATTTAAAACTCTTCCATGGAGTCCCATTACAACTTTAAAAAAAAACAAAAAAACCCTAAACTCATGTATCATAGCTTCAGGGTCTGTCATGTGGTCTGGCCCTATTTCTCCTTCTGGCCTCACCTACCCTCCTTTTTATCCACTCCTGTCTAGCTCCACTTGACTTTAGATAGCCAATCTCTCTACCATCTTGCGCCTTTGATCTTGCTGTTCCCTTTGCCTGAAAATGCTTTTCCATCGGATCTTTTAATAGCTGTGCTCACAATTCCTATCTTGAAACACATGTCAACTTAAGAGCCTTTCCCTGATTATAACAGCATCTTCAGATTGGAGTTTGAACAAAGCAAGACTGGCCTTGAGTTGTTTGTTGAAACTGGAGCGAAAGGTGCATGGGACTTCATGGCCTGTTCTCTCTACTGCTGTATAGTTGAAGTTTTCATAGTAACATGTTAAAATGGTACTGCACATCTCTACATATTATTTTTAAATTTATTTTTGGTGGTACTGGGAATTGAGCCCAGAAGCATTTTACTCCTGGTCCACATCCCCAGCCCTTTTTATTCTTTATTTTGAGACAGGGTCTCCCTAAGTTGTCAGCCAACCTAGAACTTGGGCTTTTTCTGCTTCAGCCTCCTGAATAGCTCTGCCACCATTGAAGCCAGAATTAGACAGGCAGTCAGTATAGACAGGTAAATTGAGTTAGGTAGGAT